AACGTGGCGTCACACTAGTCATGTGACTCGCTGACGCAACAGTATTTTAAATTTTATTTTAATACGTATCTTTTGGGCGTATCTTTTCGAGACAAGTTTTAGTTTGTTAATTGATAAATTTTTAAGTGAAATACAGCATCTTCAAGTCTCCATAATAACTAGTACTAAGGTCAACCCGCTGGGAGTAAATTCAGTTTATATCAATAAAGCTACATTCTCAGCATCATTAATTAAGCAACTGTCAACCTTTTATGCCTCTGCTATCACTTTTTAATGTTTAGCTTTCAATTGAGAAACGAACGATTTCACCTGCGATTTGGTAGGGAAGGTCGAAGCATTACGATAGTCAGCAGTATGATGAGTAGACAGGAACACTTTGAAAGTAGCTACAGGCATAATATTGTATTCGACTTGCTGCACAATATTTACCAAGGTGGTTCTAAACGGTTCCTGGATACCTCTGCGTGTCATTTGGAGACTTCCATGTTTCTTGTGCTTGGCCGTTAACCTCGTGATGCGCTGACGGATTTCAGTCACCTTACCACTTCAAATCACTTTTTTGTAGCCCCAACACTAAAAAAGTGCAGAAATTGCTTTTTAAAGCCAATAAACATGTCCGAAAAGTACCAGTTCAAATTAAGAAAAAAACCTGATTGGGTAGTTTGTGTTTTTTCAACAAAAAAAATGTCCCCCATTGGCTCGTGAGGGGCCTGTTAAATCATATAAATTCTTAATTACGGCGTAGGTGTCAAAATAACACGCTATTATCGCGAACAGGGGATTTTAAGCCATTTTTTCTAATCAAAAAATAAAACAAATTTATGATTTTTTTAAAATCTTACAGACATTTTATTTTTTGCTTCGATACAACTTAAAAAATATGTTATGCATAGTAATAAAAAACAAAGTGTTTTATATATAGTTTGAATATACATCAATTAAACACACTTTTAAAAGTGGTAAAACTTATTACACTTCCTTCTGGGAAGAATACATAGAAAATTTGCATATTATCATTTCATTTCCTTTACAAAAACCAATAAAGGTTGTTCTATTTATTCACATGCACTGATGTCCCACAGGAACCCCAAAAGTTTCCGCAAAAACGCAGGCTAGAGAAGGTTAAGTGAAGAATATATTAAACACGGATATCAAAGGAAAAGAAATGAACAAACAAACAAAATCTCTGTTCACAGTAGTGTTTATACATACCCTCAAATTGTTGGCCCGCTTCTAATCTGAGTGACTACTATCGTGTAGCCGCTGGGATCGAATGTAAGAAAAACAAAGAGACAAGAGCGCTAAATTTAAGGAAAAAACTACATAAAACTCAAGATACAAAAGCAGGCAAAGCCTTAATAAGGCATCCCACAAATTCACAGGTTACATACATCATCCAGTAGTATTCATATGATTCGAAGCCATTCTAAGCCTGTTTAAAAAAGCAACCTTCTAAAAAGCTCGTACAGAGATTGGCACACGTTAGCTATACACTTAAAAACAAAGGTTGCAGTATATAGTTTCTACCTTTATAACAAGATTGACACATGTTTACTACTTTTCGACACCCAGTCAACACCGATGGGATTAGCTACTGTTAGTATCTGCTTATTACGAGGATCTTCAGCGATACGAGTTCTTTCTTGTTTAAACCAGTTTATTCTTCCTCGATACAAACTTTTAGTACACAGTAGTTCCACAATCAATACATTTCTGGTCACTTTAAACTTAGC